CTAAAAATCACGTACATTTGATCTTGGAATGTGTTTCTTATGTTTGAACATGGGTGTGTCTGGTGTCCTAAGAGTTCATTTCAAACAAACTATTGAAGTCATGGAGTGAAAAATATACCCAGACTTTCCCTTTTAACCTTTATGTGCTTCTCCCTTTTCCTCATGCCCATGTTACGACTTGGGACAGGGTAGGTTAGGAAATCATTGTGAGGACATTTTTGGGTTAGAAGACTTTCTTTCACTTTTTACGCTTACCCTAAAAAATTTTGGAAGCTCTGAGAGAATGAAGAAATTATGTTACAAACACAGATCCTTACCTTTACATTTATTGTGCATTTGTTAAATTTAGCGAATATGTCCTTGGTGTCTACTGTGAGCCAGGCATAGGAGATACAATGACAAAGAAGACCTGCGAAATTCATGTTCATGGAATTTAGATTTTAGTGGATGGAGCCAGTTAATAAACCAAACCAGATGATTTTAGCTAGAGGCAAGGGCTATGGAAAAAAGGAACAGGATCTTGTGATGGAATGGGAGTGGGATTGATGCTACTTTAGATAGGCAGTTGGGGAGAGGCCTTCCTGAGGAGGTGGCATCTGAATGGAACAAAGAAGCCAGCCATGTGGCACCCTGGACAGCGTGCAGGCAGCGCCTCCAGCAAGTGTCAAGGCTAATAATAGTCCTTTCCTGTGAGGATTAAGTGAGTTAAAATGTGAAGAGTGCTTACAAAAGTGCCTGGCATCCGTAAACGCTAACTGCTTTTCATTCATTAAATATTCACTGAGTACCTACCAGGTTCCAGCCTCATGAGTTGCATGGAGAGGTCTGACTTCAGGGAAATCCTTCCAGATGCCAGTGCAGCGATTCTCAATGTGTGGTATACAGACCATTTGCATATTACTCATTGGCCTTCCTTGTTTCCAGTCTCCTCCCCCATGGAGTCTGACTAGATATAGACTTGGGGAGGAGAGCAGAAATCCACATTTCCTACAAGCTTGCTCCAGTTAATGCTTAGGCCTACTGAAGATTGAGAACAATGGTCCTATTGGATAGATTGTGACTAACCTGTGGTCCTCTTCGATACAGTACATGTTATAATATTAAGTGCCGCTGATCCTTGAACAACCCGGGGGTTAGGGATACTGATCCTTACTCAGTTGAAAAAACCTGCATAACTTTTGACTCCCCGCAAAACTTAAGTTGTCTCTGAGTATCCATGGGGGATTGGATTCAGGACCCTCCATGGATGCCAAAATCCATGAATGCTGAGGTCCCTTATATAAAATGGTGTAGAATAAAGCATACAGTCGGCCCTCCGCATCCAGGGATTCCCAACTGCAGATAGAAAACACTGTTTTTGATCCACGGTTGGTTGCATCCAGGGATGCAAAACCCGGGAACATGGAGGGCTAACTGTATATTTTTGAAAAAAATCTGCATATAAGTGGACCTGCACAGTTCAAACCCATGTTGTTTAAGGGTCAACTGTATAAGCAATTGCCCTACTGCTGGGAGTACTTCATAACATGCAAGAGTAGCTCTGCTCGGCTTATGGAGGCCATAAATATCATGGAATTACGTTTCATGATTAACATCCTGTAATCCTGAGGCCTAATTTTTTTGTTGATCTTGAGCTGGCTGGGGATGTTGTGTGTTTTGGATTAACCTGCTTTTTTTGGCTATGGTGTGGAAGGCTTGCCTGACACTCTTATGTGTCATTTAAAACCTGCCAAATTAAAAAAAAAAAAAAGGCTTTTACCTTTTAGGAAGACTGTGCCAAGCAATGTTTGCCAAAGGCTCTTGTATTCTGGAAGAAATTCTACTTGCAAGTAGATTGGCCTAACTGAAGTTCCTCCCTTGGTCTCCTCCACATACTTATTTTAAAAATGCAATGTCATCATAAAGGGAGATGACGAACATTTATTTTATTATCTCTCCTTGGCTTTCTACTAGAAGGTATCGTACTCATTTTCTCACGTTAGAATGACTTATCTACATTTCAAAAAGATGCAAGGATCTCAAAGAACATTGGACACAAGAACATATTCATGCAAATCCACTCGAGGCTGAGTGATAACAGATTCTAAAACCCAGACTAGATTGCAGGCCAGGCTCTACTGTACAAGGGTGAGGCTGCTGTTTTCCCATCAAATACTACCCTAAGAGGGTGTTTACCATGCAATTCCTTTCTCATTTCTTGTTTTTTTTCTCTTTGATAGTTTCCATCCATAGCTACTCAGTAGCTATGGTCAGATAGAATGACGGCAAATGAAAAAAGGGTGTCTCTGATAATGAGGTCAGAATTGGCAAGGGTTAATGAACTAATGTAAGTTTAAGGCAAATTGGAATCTTACACATAGTTCTTAGAATCTTAGACAGAACTGAGTGGATGGTCAAAAGAAATCAACTTTTGGGACTGCCAGCCTGTCAATTATTCATTTTGTTGTTGTTTAACTCTTCAGGTTAGTAATGCCTCCTCAAAAAAGAGTGTGAAGAATGAATGAAAAACGCAGTTCACATAAAAACTGATGAACTCAAGATAAAGATCTGATAATGCTCCATCAGTGCTGATGAATGATATAAATATGTAGGGCAACGAGAATTCAACTCTGACACCAGAGAAAAAGAGTGTAATAGACAAGAGCTGCTCCCCCAAGGAGAAATTTTTTCTTCTAATTTTTATTGTTTCACCTGACAACATGGCTGTTTGTATAAAAACAAATAGAAAGAAAAGAATCCTTTCTTTCCTTAGATTTAGCAATTTATTCAAGCTTTTTTTTTATTCATTCATTCAACAAAGATTTGCAGAGAGCTAAGTGTGTGCCAGGCACAGTTCTAATTGTTGGGGACACAGAAATAAAAAGACAGAAAGGTACCCCGTCTCTGTAGAGTTTACATGCCATTAGAATTTTATTTCTTTTTCATCTATGAAAATGACCATAGCTAATTAGTATCCATCAGACAAGCTAAATGTAGAAAAGGAGCCAGTCTCTGTAAAAGTGGGGACCTGACCAAGGGACTACATTCCCTTGGAATTTGGTGTCACTTCAGTTTTCTTTGCATAGGAATCAAATAATTTCTGTGTGCACTTTAAAACTACTGTTTGCTTAGTTTTGGCTCTATCCTGGTTTTACTGGTGATTTTGGCTAACTCTGTGTACCCCTACCGTGTTTTCTTGCTCTTATCGATCATGCATGGGTGATGTGATGGCACTGTCCCCAAATCTCTGAGGGCAATCTCAGTACAACATAGCTGCCTGGAAATTCAAGACTCTGGTTCCCATAAAAGAGCCACTGGCTCACAAAACCCACACATTTCTTCCCCATTTCCATTGTAACATTTCTTTCTCAAGAGTATAAATAAATCTCATGCCGATATTTAACATTCCTTTGAACTGAACCATGGACTTTTTACCTTGTACTTTTTGAAAGAGTGGGGAGTTATGTTTCCATTATTCATATTTATAAGCATGTCCTATACAGAAGGCATGATTTAATAATTCTCTAGTCATGGGTCTCTGAAACTATTTTTCAAAAGAACATTTAGAAACATCACTCCAGGTCAGGCTGGTTCAGGATTCTGTCTCAGTGTGTTTCCATGTGGTGGCAGAATAACATTGTTGTTATATATGACTCATCCTTAAAAAAATGGTGACAGATCTTAAAGATTCTTGAATTAAAAATTCTTTTCACATGTAAAAATTAATTCTGAAATCAAATTAGAGAGTTACATAAACTTTGAAAAACTAATTCTACCCCAGGCTTCCCTATTTTGGGAAATGAGATTATTATTTATCCAGTTGCTTGGGCTCAAAGTCCAAGGAACATTCTTCTAAAAAACATTTTTTTTGCATCAAAATTCTGAGAGTTTATGTAGTCCTTTCTTAAAGTTAATATTTATTTTGGTAAATGCATAATGATATTTTAAATTTAAGTTTTGAGGAAAGCTATGGTTAAATGAAACTAATCCTATTTCCCTAAAAATTAGTCTCTCAAAATTATTGCAGCTTTTAAAGTCTGACCTTACTTGACAGCAACAATCTTCCTTCCTTCCTTCCTTCCTTCCTTCCTTCCTTCCTTCCTTCCTTCCTTCCTTCCTTCCTTC